GAAAATGCATAGAAGATAAAGAACTTGCAAATAAAATATATAAAGAAAACAGAGAGACTTATTTAAAGATCTATGTATTTATATATGTATAAAATGATAACAATTATATTATAAAACTGGCAAAAGATTACAATAGACACCTCACCAAAGAGAAACAGATTGCAGACAAGCACATGAAAAGATGCTCAGGATCAACAGTCATTACAAAAATGCAAATTTAAGGGGCACCTGGGTGGCTCAGTCAGTTAAGCATCTGCCTTCAGCTCAGGTCATGATCCCAGGGTCCTGGAATTGAGCCCACATTCGACTCCTTGCTTAGCAGGAGGTCTGCTTCCACCTCTCCATCTCCCCCTCCCACCAGCTCATGCTGTCTCTCAAATAAATAAACAAAATCTTTTAAAAAATGCAAATTTAAGTCACAGTGAGCTACCCATACACACCTACATGAAAAGTGTGTTGTTAGTAGGAAAACAAAATGGTATAGCCATGTTGGAGAACAGTTTTGCAATGTCTTATAAAGTTAAACGTATGCTTACCATATGACCAAGCAACCTCACTACAGATATTTACCCAAAAAATATAAAAGCATATATCCACATAAATAGCTGTACAGAATTTCACAAGTTTCACTGATAATGACCAAAAACCATGAACAATTCAAATGGGAATTAACTGCTCCTAGGATAAACCAAACCGAGGCAGCAGAACCAGAAGACAGCGTACCTCCAGACTACTTGCACATTTTACCAAGGCGAAAAGAAAACAATACAAAAATGTTCTGCACTTTACTCAGACCAGGGGGAGTGTCAAGATTTGTGTAGAGGTGGGTGGGAGGTTCACACTCTAGGGCTGACACAAATCCAGAAACAGCGAATTGGAAAAAAAGGGGCCGTTATGCTGTGCACACAGGCATGTCAGCAGAGAAGACAGTCCTGCGAGGCTGGCAGTGTCACTCGTCACCCTGATCCTGCCCTTGCAGGACGGGGGCAGGCCCCCGGCCTCATGGCACCGTCCCTCCATCCACCTGAACATTTCATCTCTCTCCTCCGATGGGGTCCAACTGCCCACCGTCACAAGGCGGGCATGCTCTCCCTCAGCTGGAGGAGGGACAGAGGCCACTGCAGGTCCAGCTCTTCTTGGACCTGCTCATCCTCTAAGCCTCCACCCCCTGCCCTAGGTCCCCGGTCTGTCCCGGAAGCCTACACCCCCTGCACTGGGTTCTGGCTCTGTCTTGAGTCCCTGCCATTCGGCCCTGAGCTCTGGGATTGTGCTCTGAGGCTCCTCCCTCTGCCCTGGGCTCTGGGTCTGGGCTGAGGCTCCTCCTCTCAGGCCCCTCAGAAGAACTCTCTTGTTCCTAAGGATGCAGGACCTAAGGATTCAGAGACAAACGCGTTTCAGCTGGGACCATCCCTGCCGCACCACATCTGTGCCTCTGACCCAGGCGGACTCACCTTCTGAGGCCTCAGACTGGCTCTTCTGTAGACTCGGAAGCCCAGGTGCAGGTGAGCTGGGACCCGCAGTCCGTGAGCCGTGGTCCCAGTGACGCACCCCGCTCCTGGAAAGAAGGACCACAGAGGAGATGCAATCGGCAACCCCTGGGATGGACTGAAGCTGAGGAAAACTCCGGTGTTTTACTTTATGCGAGGAAGCCCAAGGCCTCATCTGAGTTTGAAGAGCGATGTTTAGTAGGACCCTATTAACACCAGACAAGGAGCTGAGCACTGCCTCTGCAATCAACTCACTGCCTGCTCTGTCGCTTTTATTCGTCCAGTGAAAATGGGGAGGGCCCGCTATGTGCCTAAACTACGCGCTGCAGATCCACCAGGGAACAAACTCGTCAGAGGTCCCCGACCTTGTGGAGCTCTCTTCGAGCAGGGGAGGCAGACAGCAACCACAAACTTGGTCAATTTCGGAAACGTTAGTCAGAAAGGCCAAGCGCTAGGCGGGGGGGGAGGGACAGGCAGAAGGATTCCCCCGGGGTTGCGTAGCTGTGTGACTTGGGACAGGTGTCTGAGCCTTTCTGTTCTTGCTTCCTCGCACTAAAACGAAGATAATCGTAGCACCTGCTCACAGGCCGTCAGGAAGATGAGTGGGGACCGCAAAGGTGCCTCGCACTTTAGGCACTCAGCAAACTCACTGACTGTATCACTCGCCTCCGCCCGCAACCGGATGCCCGCACTCGGCCCGTCGCCCAGTGCCGCGAGCCCGCAGAGGCGCGAACCCACCAACCCCCGCCCTCCCCTGCAGCCCGTGTCCGCTCCGCCTTCCCGTACTTGACTTCCACAACCCGACGGTCGCGGCGGCGAACAACAACCGGCGCGACGGCGCGCCGCCCTCGCGCCAGCGGAGCACTTCCGCTCTTGTCGCCCCGCAGCCCGGGGTCGAAACGCGCGCGGCGCACGCGCACGGAGACGGGGCGAGGGGGCCGGGTCCGCAGTGTCGATGGGCAAGATGGGCCGTGTCGCGGACAGTGATTCTGTCGGGGTTCCTCTGCGGCGCGAAGCGGCGACCAGAGCGTGCGAACATTTTCCGGGACGAGTCGCACATTCAGGCGCGAGACGGGCGGGGACGGGGAGGGAATGGCGCCTCTGGGCGGCGAGGCGCCTGCGGAGGGGTTCAGGGGCTCCACTCCCGCTGCCTCGGAGGCCGAGGCGCTGTGTCCCGCGCCGTTCTGCTGCGCACCGGCCACCCCGCAAAGCCACGCTCTCCGCTTCCTTCAGCTCGTCGGAATAAGAAACGGTAGCGGCTCCCGCGGCCGTCGTCAGCGGCACAGGGGCGCGGCCATCTTGGGGGCGGGGCCGTTCCCCGGGAGCAGTGCGGGTCCCGGGTCCGAAGGAGTTAGAGGGCCGGGGTCAGGCCCTGTCGGGGGTAGAGTCCCGGAGGAGAGCCTGGGCGCGGGGCTGGAGGGCAGCCACACCCACAGACGCGGACGCCTCTGCCCGATTCTCCTGAAAGAAATCGTGCTGCTCCAGTTTCAGGGACCTGTTTCAGGGACCTCCAGTTTCGGGCGTCCTGGGAGAGTGTGGTTTTGCTGACAGCACCGCCTAAAGAAGCAGAGAGTTTTGGTCTCTGGCAGTGGCAGCCACTGGTAGCGTGGCCGCTAATAAGGCCTGTCAGTGCCGTTGAGGAAAGTTTGCTGTTTCCGTCAGGGTGTGGGGAAAAGAGGCCAAGTGTGGGGCGCCCTTGTAGCTGCCTGGGCCCCGAGCAGAACCCTGGGCCGTGCGTGGTCGGGTCTCAGGTCAGATGTGCCCGATTCCTTGTGAGCTCGAGCCACAGGTGCCACGCACTGTGAGGGAAGCCTGTGGCAAAAACCGTCACGCAGTCCCGCGTGCACGTAGGTAAGCTTCCACGGGAACATACTGCTTTCTCCCGGTCTTTCCTTTTGCCTTCGAGGAGCGAACTAAGGTTCCCCGGTGGTTTGGGGGATTCCTAGCCCGGATCTACAGCGCAGAGTTCTGGGAAGTGACGGCCCAAGCCTTTAGGATCCCAGGGGAAGAGCCCGCTGTCCCTGAGGCGCGTGAGTGGGTACTGCTGCCCGCTGTGAGTGCATTCCGTGTGCGTTTGTAAGTGACGGCCGGGCTTGGAGACGCCGCCTGTTTATTTCTAGAGAAGAGACCTGCTGTCCTTCTTTTGGGCCGTCACCGTGGGGAGGCAGGAAAGGTTTAGCAGAGTTGGTATGCTAGTGCCCCGAGCACAGCTGAGAAAGCCCCAGCTGCAGAAGTCCCTGGTGCTGGGCCCTGGTCAGACTCTCCCGGATCCTCGTAAGACACGGGCAGGTGCTCGCACAGAAAGACTAGACCGAGCGGTTGGCGGGGGGCCTGGGGAAGGACACGTGTGTGTTACTCAGGCAACGGTAGCATTTCTAGTGTGGCTTCGCCATTTCAGACCCGGGAAGCATGCAAGGTGTTCCTCCGGTGGGGCCTCTGCCCGGGATATTCGGATAGATCAGTCCATAGGGGAATAGGCTCGTCTCCAGCACTTTCTGGCCCCTTGGGTCACAGCTGAGGACCACCTGCCTCAAGGGCTGTTGTGACTGACGTAGGGCGCATCTTAGAGCCCCAAGCCCAGGATTGAGCCCACGTCAGGCTCCTGGTTTGTGCTGGCGGTTTACGTCCTCTCGCACACACTCGGTAGCCTGTTGGTGCCGTTGCTGTACCTTCCCATAGCGTGGGCTTCCCCTTTGCTGCCTTCTTGCACAGTCGTGCCCGTGCCCGGTTCCATCCTTACCCAGGGTCACCACTCATACTCACCTGAAAACATTTTTTCCTGTCGGCCACTAGACTTCTAATGAAGTGAAAATTAATTGTAAGGGGTAAACCCAGGAGGCCCGGATTGCTCGAGGCCCGTACATTCCACAGAAAATCCTGTTGCAGGAGCACTGGTCGTTGTCTGGCTCCTGGGAGACCACCGCTAAGCCCCTGTCACATTCTGCCTAGTGAGACTGTTTGTAGTGTGAGCATCGCCGTTCCATGGTGGCCCGAGAGCGTGTGCAGACAGTGTGACTCAGGCTGAGGGTCTGGGTTTGCCTGCGTGAGGCCCTGGGCCGTGCTGTATTAGTTTGGCCTCTGAGGGCGGTAGCCTGAGTAGCTACCCTCAGTCACAGGAATGCCGCCTGCCAGCACAACCTCCTGGCAAGGCTCCGGCCCCCAAGGCTGGAGCGAGCTTCCCTGGCTGGCCGTGCGTGGCAGGTTTTGTCACACACATCGTTCCTGGGAGAATGAATCGGTGACCTTGGGACTCCTTTGGGGGGCAATCACTGCCATGTCATGCCTGGCTGCTAATGGGCCTCACCCCTACCCCTTTTCCCTTTGCTCTTCTACTCCGCACGCTTTCCCTGCAGTAAGTTCTAACCACGCATCAAACAGCTCAGGAGGCCTTGCAGGCTTCTGAGAAGCAGAACAGCGTTTCTGAGTCCCGAGTTCTAGGGCATCATGGGGCCTGAGGGGGGCCTTGGAGACCCGTGTCACACCGTTGCTGCAAATGTTCGGATGGGTACTCTTTAGTGTGTTTTTGCCATCCCAGGACGTGGACCTTCTGAACCCAGTTTGAGTCTGCCCTCAGCAACACGCGGGTCGCAGCAGCGGCATCTGGAAGGCCTGGAAGGTGCGGCAGTGCTTTTCCATGGCTGAGGAGCAGAGGGCCTGGTGCCGTGTTCTGCCGAGAGTCCCTGGTACCTTCCTCTTCCTGGTGTTCTTCCCCACAATGGCCAAGGTGACGGGCCCATCATACAATGCTTTGATGGTACTCTGCTCTTTGAACTGCATGAGTTTCTGTCAAGAATGGAAGGCCAATGTCAGGTTTCTCTTGGCTGGACCGCACTGCCCTCTCTCCGGCCGACCCTATGGATTGCCACAGGCAGGAGCGGACAGGAGTGAGGGGCGCTACTATAGTCAGAAATGAAGGTCTTTGGGGCCAGTCCCTGCAGTAACCTGTGCTTTAGAGTCCCCTCCTCCGTTGAAGTCACTGTCTTCTGTGACTTTATCAGTTATTTTGGCCAGTTATCTTTTCAGTAGGTAACTTTTGGTGTATTACTGGTTCATACAAGAAAATTATTGTCTACAATCAAAGAGATTTTAACATTTCTGCCCACTTTGGTTATCTCTATATGGATTTCCTATTGGTTAATTATGTTGAAGCACAAAACAAAATTCTTTTTTTTTTTTTTAAGATTTTATTTATTTGTCAGAGAGAGAGAGAGCGAGCACAGGCAGACAGAATGGCAGGCAGAGGCAGAGGGAGAAGCAGGCTCCCCGCCGAGCAAGGAGCCCGATGTGGGACTCGATCCCAGGACGCTGGGATCATGACCTGAGCCGAAGGCAGCTGCTTAACCAACTGAGCCACCCAGGTGTCCCACAAAACAAAATTCTTAATGTCCATCTCTACAATGAATTTCCCATATCTAAGCCAGGGATGACCCATGAATTACAATTATTTAAATTTCATTTTGTTGTCTATAGTAAATTATCTGATGATGAATAAAGTATGAGCTGTGGGTAAAAGAATGTACCCTAGGTTCGTATTATCTCTATTTTATATGAATTCGCTGATGCTGAGTAGGAGTTGAACACATTCCTTCCTATCTTCATTCATTACATTCATAGGGATTTCTCTGAGATGAATTGTCTCATGCTTGCCAACAGTGCAGCCATATCTGTATTTGGGATTTCCCAAATATAATACATTTGCAGGGTTCTCCCCAGGAAGAATTATGTCACATTGACAAGGGTAAAGTCATGTCTAAAGGCCTTTCCTCATTCAGATCATTTATATGTTTATATATATTTATTTCATTTATATTCATTTCAGTATGAATGCTGTGATGTTGAGTAAGATGTGAGGATTGGTGAATTCAACACATTTGCAGGATTTCTCTCCAATATGAATTCTCTTATGTTGAGTAATGTGTAGGTATTGGCTAAGGTTTTTCCATGTTCCTAACGTTTTTTTAAAAGATTTTATTTATTTATTTGACAGAGAGAGTGAGCAGAAGCAGGGGGAGTGGCAGGTGGAGGGAGAAGCAGAGCTCGAACCCAGGACCTGAGGACCGTGACCCAAGCTGAAGGCAGACCCCCAACCAACTGAGCCACCCAGGCACCCCTCCGTGTTCCTAACTTTAACAAGGTTTCTATTCAGTATGAATTTTCTAATGCTGAATAAGTTATAATCCAGAGCTAAATGCATTTGCAAATTGATTTAAATTGTAGGCTTTTCTCTGCACTTTCTGCATTCTCTGATATTACATAAAGTCTAAGCATTACATAAAAGTCTGTCTTTTTTTTTTTCCAAAAGACAGCCTCTGTCCTTGAACAAATGAGTAGAATTCTTTTCATGTCCATTTCATTTCATGGGGTTTCTTTTGCGTAAGCAACTTGCTTTATTGTAACTAAATTTATTTGGAAATTTTTAATCATACATATAATATTGTGGTTCTCTAATTTCTTTTGTGAAAGTGCTCTTGTTCAACAACCACTGACTTCAAATGGAAACCTTGACCAGTTACATTTGTTTCTTCTTTTGTGTGTTTTTCTTTGGTATAGATAACACTCTTTTACTTGAAATGCCTCCCCTTTCCCCTCTGCATCTCAAAGCAACCTTTGCATTGTCACTTTATTTTCTGAAATGAAAATTGTATCATTCTCAGTATGCAGGGACCTCCTAGCTGGATACCAACTAGGGACTTTATAGAATCTAGCTTAGCCACCATGTGTGTGTCAGTGATAACTAGTAAAATACATAACCTAGGAAGAATGATACACATCAAAAAGCAAAAATACAACTCTAAATAAAGCTAAGACGATTGCACATTATCTGTATAAAAGAAAATAAACTGTATTCCCGAATATAAATGCAGTACTATAAAAACCCAATTGCACATAAACCTAATCCACGAACTTCAGGCAATTGGACTCATTATATTTTTAAAAAAATTTTTATTTTAATTAACATATAATGTATTATTTGTTTCACAGGTACAGGTCTGTGATTCTTCAGTCTTACGCAATTCACAGCACTCACCATAGCACATACCCTCCCCAATGTCCATCATCCAGCCACCCCATCCCTCCCACCCCTCCCCTCCAGCAACCTTCTGTTTCCTGAGATTAAGAGACTCTTAAGGTTTGTCTCCCTCTCTGGTTTCTTCTTGTTTCATTTTTCCCTCCCTTCCCCTATGATCCTCTGTCTTATATCTCAAATTCCTCACATCAGTGAGATCATATGATAATTGTCTTTCTCTGATTGACATATTTCACTTAGCATTAATATACTCTAGTTCCAGCCACGTCATTGCAAATGGCAAAAATTGGGGGGGTTTTGAAGGCTGCATAATATTCCATTGTATATATACACCATATCATCTTTATCCATTCATCTGTTGATGGACATCTAGGCTCTTTCCATAGTTTGGTGATTATGGACATCGCTGCTATAAACATTGGGGTGCACGGGCCCCTTCGGATCACTACATTTGTATCTTTGGGGTAAATCCCCAGTAGTGCAATTGCTGGGTCATAGGAATATCTCTATTTTCAACTTTCTGAGGAACCTTCATTCTGTTTTCCAGAGTGGCTGCACCAGCTTGCATTCCCAACAGCAGTGTAGGAGGGTGAATCATTATCTTCAGTAGGCTCAGGGGCCTGTAGTTCAATTCTTCATTTTAATTGGCAGGGAAAAAATATATATGAAAACAGCCAAGGGTATTCTGATGATAGTTGTAATAAGTGAGGACTTATACTCCATTATAAACTTCACTAAATAAAACGTGGCACACACAAAATTTAAAAAAATAATAAAATATGGTATAGAGCAGTTTTAAAAGAGATCACTAAAACAGAGTAAGAAATCAGAATCAAGGGTGCCTGGGTAGCTCAGTCATTAAGTGTCTGCCTTCGGCTCAGGTCATGATTCCAGGGTCCTGGGATCGAGCCCTGCATTGGGCTCCCTGCTTGGTGGGAAGCCTGCTTTACCCTCTCCCACTCCACCTGCTTGTGTTCCCTCTCTCATGATCTCTCTTTGTCAAATAAATAAAAGCTTTAAAAAAATCGGAATCAAGTATATGAAACACTAAATGTCTAAAGTTTCGTCAAAAGAGTATGAAAAAATTGAGAGGGGAATTTGATTTACTGTATATTAAGTTTCTATAAATTTAATGCTAGGTTATAATGGTTGACGAAAAAGTAGAAGTGGTCTAGTATATATTCATGCATATATGGAAAATAATATATAATAAAAGTGTTGTGTAAACAAAACCAACCCGGAAGCCATAAAGTAAATCCTAGACTTCATTAAAACATCTTTAAGGGATGCTTGGGTGGTTAGTTGGTTAAGCGTCTGCCTTTGGCTCAGGTCATGATCCCGGGGTCCTGGGATCAAGCCCCGCATTGGGCTCCTTGCTCAGCGGGGAGTCTGCTTCTCCCTCTGCCTGCTACTTCCCCTGCTTGTGCGTGCTCTCTCTCTCTCTGACAAATAAATAAAACCTTTTAAGAAATAAATAAAAATAAAACATCTATAAAATCCAAAAGAGGCACCTAGCAGGTTTAGGAGAACATCTGACTCTTGATCTTGGGGTCGTGAGTTTGAGCACCATGTTAAGTGTAGAGATTACTTAAAAAAAGTTTTAAAAATAGACATGGATATTTCTGATATCCCAGTAGAATAAACATTATAAAAATACAAAAGAGAATATATGCCATGAAAAAATCAAGAGACAAACTGTACATCTGGGAAAATATTTGCAATATTTGTGACAAAGAGTTAATATCCCTGATAAATAATGTCCCCACAAACTCTTATGTAAAAGAGAATGTACAAATAGAAAAATGGATGAAAAATGTGAAGACCAAATCACAGAACAAGAAAAAAGTTGTCATTATTTTGAAATTAATTTTGTTTTTCTTTTGAATGGTACACTGTGTGGTTATAGTTTCAAAGGTGGAAGAAAGGAAATTCATGTTGAGGGGGAAGTGTGAAGAATCTCATATCCGTATCTATAACTCTGACTTTTTTCTAAGCTCTAATTCTACATTTCCAGCTACCTACTGCCCTTAATGCTTGGAAATCAAATTCACCTCAAATCTATTAAGACCCAAACTCGTCATCATACTTTTAATCCCACGGTAACATACAATCATTGCATTAAAATTACTGAGAAGAGGGCACCTGGGTGGCTCATTCGGTTAAGTGTCTGCCTTCAGCTCAGGTCATGATCCCAGGGTCCTGGGATCAAGTCTTCAATTGGGCTCCCTGCTTGCGGGGAGGGAGTCTGCTTCTCCCTCTACCCCTCCCCCTGCTTGTGCTCTCTCTCTCATACTCTTTCTCACATTTTCTTTCAAATAAATAAAATTACTGAGAAGAAACTGGAACCCTCCTATTTCGCTGGTGGGAATGTCAAAAGATACAGCCATGTTGGAAAACAGTTTGGCAGTTCCTCAAAAAGTTAAACATAGAGATACCATAGGGCCCAGCAGTTTCACTCCCAGGTGTATACCCAGAGAATTGAAAACATATATTCAGGGACGCCTGGGTGGCTCAGTTGGTTAAGCAGCTGCCTTCGGCTCAGGTCATGATCCCAGCGTCCTGGGATCGAGTCCCACATCGGGCTCCTTGCTCATCAGGGAGCCTGCTTCTCCCTCTGCCTCTGCCTGCCATTCTGTCTGCCTGTGCTCGCTCTCTCTCCCTCTCTCTGACAAATAAATAAATAAAATCTTTAAAAAAAAAAAAAAAAAGAAAACATATATTCACACAAAGAAAAAAAACTTGTACATGAATGTCCATAGCTGCATTATTCCTGATAACCAAAAGTGGAAATAAGCCAAATGTCAGTCAAGTGATGAATAAACAAATTGTGGTATATCCATACAATAAAATAGTACTTAACCATAAAAAGGAATGAAGTACTGATAAAATAAACAGTTGTGGATGAACCTTGAAAACATTGCAAGCAAAAAAAGGCTGACACAAGAAGCCATGTATTCTGATTCCATTTATAAGAAATATCCAGAATAAGGGTGCCTGGGTGGCTCAGTCCATTGAGCGCCCTACTCTTTGTTTTGGCTC